CTAGTCATATACCACCCCTGCATTCATTCCAACTATTTCATTTATTTGTAGGTGGCAGACATTGTAGCCAGTATATACAACAAAAAAGTTCCAGGTTGGTATAGAACTATCCCAGAGGTAGCTTATTTAAAATCTTGTGCTGTGAAATCTATCTTTCAAAACTCTAAATACCGTCCCTCGTTTAAAATAGTGCCTGAGGGGTTCATGAATCTACAGTCTTTATCACCTTGGAGATTGAAACTCTCTTAATGTCTGGATCCAGCATCTGTACTCATATAAAAATGTTTCAGTGCAGCTGGTGGAAATATAAATCAATGTAAGTCCTGAGCTTCTGAAGCATCAATACAGCTATCCCTTGACCTAACTGCCCAGCTGAGGCCATCAAAGTAATATGTAATAATGAACAATGTCACTCCATGCTCCAGGATACAAGGCAAATCCCAGAGATGTCTCAAATGAAAATTCTGAAGGGCAAGACACATATTTCCTTTAAGGTTAGCTTTTTTAGAGCATCACCAAGGAAAAAGGAAGCTCACCCAACCATTATATGGAGAAATTTGATAATGTCTATGATTTTTAAATTTAACCCCAGGGTGGCAGTTTTGAAATATTAGTTTTCATTATTAATTTAACTGCTGGAAATGATGCTCTGAGCAGGTGAAGTTTCTTTTGGTCACATTGCCTCTCTGGTTTAGAAGAGGCAAAGGAAGGTAGGATCTGCCAAATTGAAGCATCTTCAGGATAATTTTAAGTTACATGAGATGGCAACACTGTTATTCCATCTACAGATGAAGAAAGTAAAATCTTAGCCCCGAAACACCTTTGAAGACTATTTTTAATAGTATAAGATACTATTATTCAGAAAGAACACTAGAGATTGATATAACCATGTTTTAAAAAGCATTAAAAATGAAAGAGGGGGGATGGTGAGATGGTTCAGTGATTAAGAACACTGGCTGCTCTTGCAGAGGACCAGGATTTGATTCCCAGCACCTACATGGTGGGTGACAACTGTCTGTAACTTCAGTTCTTGAGAATCTGTCGCCCTCTTCTGAACTCTTCAGGCATTGCATGTCATGGGTGCACTTGCATAGCGTCATACACTTAAAATAAAAATAATAAATAAAAAATATTAAAAAAAATCAAAGAGGAGGGTTCACGGTAGAGTGGTTGTCTAGTATGCGTGAGGCTCAGGATTTGGTCCCCAGTAACACAACACACACACACACACACACACACACACACACACACACACACACACAGAAATGCATGCATGCATGCACATGTGCACACAAAAATTAATAAAAGAACGATCAGCTCTTCCTCACCTAGCAGTAATCAGTTGCTAATATTTCTTCAGCTAAGATTGGGGTCTGGATTGTAAAGATCATTAAGATTGATTGAGATGTTCTGTATAAAATACAGAAAATTCAATAAAAAATAATGAAAGAATAGAAAAGGCAAGATAGTCTGGGGCAGAAACTGAAGTGGATCCTTTTCTTCTTAGTTATTATGAAGGTGCAAGAATTTTATAAAAACATGTCACTGAATACCTTGAATGGACCCTAAAAACCTTTAATGGCAGTCTATCTGGTACTCATGCATCCACTTGAGAGGTACTTCTTTGACTTCTGCTCCATTGTGGCCACTGAGGAAATAATAGTAAATACAGTGGACAGGGACCCTGATGCCTCTTGTTTGTAAGCTGTGTCTAATAAAAGAGAAATGCTAAAGAATAATTACATTAACATATTCACTGCTGTGGAAATCCTACAGGAAAAAAGTATAGCATTCCCTGAGAACAATGGGCCAAGAGAGAACAGGTGTGTCAGTTCAGGCATTCCCCGAAGTGTAGCATTCAAGGTAAGAGCTGGTGCTAATCTGCTCTTTTGTTCTACAGAATGCAGTAATAGCTTGAGTGCAAAAATTCTCGATTTTGTGATTTATATTCATTCTTTTTTTAAAAAATTTTTTATTGTTTTTATTTTATGTATATGAGTGTATTGCCTGCATGTATGTAAATGCACCTGTGTCATGCAATGCCTGTGGAGTTCAGAAGAGGGCATTGGATTTCTCTGGAACTGGAGTTACGCATGGTTGTTAGCCACTACTTGGGTGTTGGGAATCAAACTGGGTCCTCTGTAAGAGCAGACAGTGCTCTTAACTGCTGAGTCATCTCTCCAGTCCCATATTCATTCTTTTTTATAATGTCAATTATTTTCTGAAAATTGCCATCTTCCTTATGCACTGTATCAGTCATTCCCTATTGATTCTGTTTTAACTTGTTTATTTTGAAATTATTATTTCCAGAAATGTACAAAGATAGAACAGACGGATCCCATGGACCTTTATCCAGTTTTCCCACCAATTATACTTTACATAACTATCTTGCAGTGGCAAAACCAGGAAGCTGGCATTGACATAAAATCCATAGTTTTATGTAGTTTATTGTATGTATAGAATCATGTCTCTGGTCCACTGTGGCAAAGAACTTACTCATGCTTTCTCTTCTTAGTGACTCCCACCCATCTCATTCCTTTCCTTACTCTCAAATCTCCTGGCATTCACTAATTTGTTGTCTATTTCTGTAATTTTGTTATTTCAGAGGTACAACCTAAATAGAATCACATAGCATGTAGTTTTTAAAGACTGACTGTCTCTCCACACTCAGTATGATGCCCCTGATACCCATCTGTCACTCTCTCAAGAACTTATTCCTTTTTACTATAGTAGTACTCAGTGGTAAGATTATTCTACAACTTGCTCAATCATTCCCTATTTCAAAATATTTTGTTTATTTCCAATTCTAGGATGACACTTTCATTTCCAATAGACTTTTAAATATATTTAGTTATTTTATTGTGCTTATTTTTCAGACCAACATTTGAAATTTTTTATTTAGACAGGGTCTCACTGTATAGTCCTGGCTGGCCTGGACTCAGAGATCCACCTGCCTCTGCTTCCCAAGTGCTTGAATTAAAAGCATGCACCACCACACCTGGCATTTTGGGACTTTTCAAGTCATATTTTTCTTTTATCTTGATTGTGATGTCATTTTCCTGTTCCTTCTTGTGTTTGTTAATTCTTTTACTATATAGTAGATATTTGAAGTGATGTACTACTGTGGTTTGTGTTATCTTCCCTGAAGAATTTTTAGTTTTGTTTCCTTAGGCACCTTAATTATTAATATATTTTCTAGAATCAATGGAAACTTGATTTTATGTATTGTTAGACTGAGTCTACTTTAGGTTTTCCCCCATTCTTAAGACTTAATTTTTATTCTTCCTAAATTCTGATCATTTGGGTGTTTTAATAGAAAGCCTAATGCATTTACTACATCACCCCAATAGGCTAGAAAACTCTAATTCAATCACTGACTCCCATATTGTGAACAAGAACTGAAATCTCTGGTTTGTGTTTTTGATTTTCAGCATTTAGCTATACTTCCTTCTGAGGCTGTCTTAGGTACTTTTCCTACTGTAATAAAATACCCTGAAAAAGCAGCTTAAGAGGGGAAGGGTGTATTTTGTCTCACAATTCAAGTATAGCCCATCATGGCTGAGAAGTTACTGTAGCAGGTGTTTGGGATGGCTGGTCACATTGCTCCCAAGGTCAGGAAGCAGAGAGTGATGGATGCTCTTCTCAGCTAGCTTCCTTCTTTTTATTCAGTTCACCTGGGGATGGAGTCAGCTTCCTTAGGTCTGTTTTCAAACATCCATTAACCTAATCAAGATAATCACAGGCATGCCTAGAGGCTATCTTAATCTAAATAATCCCTCACAGGTGTGCCTTGAGGCTTGTCTCCTAGGTGTTTTGTCATCCTATCAAATTGGCAATACTAACCATCACAAGGGCTTCTTACTCGCACAATCAAGGGAAGTTTACACTCAGATTTTGAGTATCTGCTGTTTTGAAAATTTCAGGACCTCTAGAAGTGTCAAACTCCATGCTTTTACTCTTCTAATGAACAAAAATGCAGGTTTATGCTGACGTTCTGCTAGGAAAAGCCATGTACACACTGCCTATGGTTCTCACAGTATAATTTTCTCTTCTTTTGAAATGGTGATTCTTTTCTAGTTTTTGTTGTTTTTTTGTTTACTCATGTCTTTAAGCAGAATTTTTAAAAAATTGCTAGTGTTCATAATTTTTATCTATAAGACAGCTTGACAGAAACTCTTCTGTCTTACCTTAAAATACTTCATTTTTGAACTCTGACATTACTTTTGCCTGTTTGTGAGTGCTTCCGAATTCCTCATCCAGCCTTGCATGGTTGGATTTGAGTCTGTGGCTGTAACCACTATGCTGAATGATCTTGTCTCTATTGAGGATCACAGAGTATATTCACTTCCGTTCTCTATTTACGAGGCAGATATCATGTTTTTCTTTGACATGTACTTTTACAGAGTGCTTAGAATAAATAATAATGGATTTGAGTTTGAGTTCTGTCCCAGGTATTCATTATGATTTAGATGTGGTTTATGATGTCTCTCAATGCTTCTTGTCCTCGAATCTCTGTTCTCAGTGTGATGATGTTGGGCAGTAAGATCATTAAGATGTACAGCCTAGCAATAAGTGACTAAATACCTGGAAAGGATGTCCTTTAAAGGCGATGTAGAACCCCTGAATTTCTGCCTGGTTTATTGCTTTGTGATTTTCTCCTACACATACTTTTTCTACTCACCATAGTGGTAGAGTCAGTGTTGTGCTGTTTAGACTTTCGGCCTCCAAAACTGTGAGCTAAATAAACCTCTTTTCTTTATGAGATCAGCCTGCTTCAAGTATTTTGTTATAATCATGCAAAACTAATGCAGTATGCTACTAATCTATGTTGTCTTCAACATAGCTTCTTTAATCCACAATTCTCAAATACATAAAATTAAAACTTGGTTTAGCTTTAGTAATGTCAAGTTAATACTTCATAAACATGCTTTTATACAAAGGTCTTGCCATGTTGCTGATAACTTTAAGAGGTATGTTATTAGCAATATTTAATGCCTTACCTGGACTTTGTTCATCTCCAATTTGTTCTTTTCATTGGCACTCTGATCTTGTTTGCTAGCTCCCTTTTTCTGAGGGCCTTTCCCAAAGAAGATGTAATTTACAAAGGCATATTCCAGCAGAGCCAGAAACACAAACACAAAACAGCCCATCAGGTAGATATCTATCGCTTTGACGTAAGGGATCTTTGGCAGGGTCTCCCTGAGGTGAGTACTGATGGTTGTCATTGTCAGCACCGTGGTGATTCCTGTGAACAGAAAGCGACAGGGCAGCTGACCATACCTCTGTGAGGCTGTCTTTTCTAGTACCAAGAAGCCACATACCATTCTTTTGATGTTAGAACAATGGCAGTTGTATGGTAAGCCTAGGCTAAAGTGCACACATTTCAGGAGACAAAATGGCAGGCTTTCTCCAGATTCCATTACTAAGACAAGATAGACTACATGGTTAATACAGGGCTAATGACAATTTAAAAAACACACAAAAGAAAAAGTGCAGTGAAAAGTCAGATGAAGATTCCAGTGTCAAAAGCAGGGTGGAAGGTGAGAACTGCTTCCTGAAAGTTGTCCCCTGATCTACACACATGCACTGTGTTATCATGTGTGCACAGGTGCACACAACACAGAATTTAAAATTCCCATTGGAAGCCCATTGTCAACCATGTCTCACTCTGCTGAGATATCCTTCCTCCCCTTCTCTCCATTTCTCGGGCATCATCCTTCCTGAATCTGTTCTTGTGACACCAATCACCACAGTGGCCACTATTAGACTGAAAGCTGGTGACCAGTTTGAGGTGATTCGTGGCATTTTCATGAATCTATAATACACTGAAATCACAACTTCATGTTATATTTTAAAGTTATTGCCATTCATGGAAGGTATTGCCAATGGAAGAGACATTTACAAAACTTTACGATTTGCATCAAATATTTCCTAAATATGATATAATCTTGTTGCTTTGGTTTAAAAAATATCACCTCTGTTTTATTGATTCTAGAGCCTTCAAAAACTTGATTCCCTAACATCAGGAAAAAGGTTTCTTGAAAACTTATCTTAGATTTTATTAAAAAGTTTATGACTATAAAAATCACAAAGTGCAGGTAATGTTTTATTTGTGTTGTAAAGTCTAAACATTGTTAATAGTATAATGTTTGTGTTAATGATGGCAATGATGATATAATATTTGGAGGAGTAAGAAAAAAGAAACTGGATATTTATTTATTTTTATTTTATGTGTATGAGTCTTATGCCTACATGTGTGTGAGTGCACCTGTGTCCTGCAGTGCCCTCAAAAGTCAGAAGTAGGTGTCAGATTCCCTGGAAGTGGAGTTATGTTAGCCTTCATGTGGGTGCTGGGATTTGAATCCAGGTCTTCCATAAGAGCAACCAGTGCTCTTCACTACTGAACCATCCCTCTTACCCCAAGAAACTAGATTTTGTGTAGACAGTTTGTGTTGCAACACTAACACCCTACATTTGTATAGTGTATCCTAACAGCCCACTGAGTATGGGGGGAAAGTAAGTACATTTTTCTTATTTTATAGGTGAGTAAAGGAAAATTTTGAGGGTGATCACGGTGGCAATCTCAGCATTTAGGAGGTGATGGCAGGAGAATAAGGGGTTTAAGCCATGCCCTGGATACACAGAAAGTTTGAGGACAGCCTCGGCAACATGACCACATCTTAAAAAAAAGAAAAAAACCAACCAATCAAAAATCCAAGATTAGTTATTTTCCTGTGGGTCACCCAGCTACAGGACAAAAAAGTAATACATTCAACAACAGCATTTAAAATAAGCTAAGAGTTGAGAAGGTAATATCTGAAATATGGTGAAAGTTCTTAAATAATAACAGGAGTTGTAGAAAGGATACAGAAGAGGTAAGCTTGGGAATGAGAGGCAGAAAAATAACAGAAGAAAAGATGGCTTGCACTCACTTGGCAATGGACTACTCTGAGCATGTAGATTTTTTGACTCAACACTTTGCAGTTTTGAAGAATAAACTAAAATATGAGCAATACCATCAAAAGTTAAAGTATATATATTTTTTCAGTTCCACCCATTTACCTGCCAATGTTATTGCTTTGAAAACAGATATGTAAAGAGAACCACAGTGCACAAACTTGCTAGTTTTTTCCTTATGTAGACTGGATATCATCCAGAATTTTCCAAACCACATCATATACACATGGTTATATTCATATTAAACTAATATGCTGCGGATGCATTTGTAATATGATAAATTGTTTTCTTCAGATTTAGACCGTTCAAAAGTTGATGTGAGGCTGTAGGCATGTGACTTTGGGAATCTTATATACTCAGCTGATGGAAATGCCAATTAGTTTAGATATGAAGGTATATACTGGTCTCTTAATCCAACTTAGTAATTTCAGGAGAGAAGAGATGTCATATGGTATCTTAGTCAGAAGTGATATGCCCTTCTCTCTCTCTCTCTCTCTCTCTCTCTCTCTCTCTCTCTTTCTTCCTTCTCTCTCCTCTCCCTCCCTCCCTCCCTCCCCTGCATGAGACTAAAATGATTACTAAAATGCCTGAGTATTAAATAATGAGGTAGACCTGCACATGCCCACATCATCAGACTTACACATTCTACGTCTCCAAAGAACCATTTATAGCCTCAAATACAATGTTTCAGCTTTCAGCAATTACTCAGCCATGGCAAGATTAATTCTGAATTTTGTTCCACCACAAAAGAAACCATTTTTTTAGTGTCTCTTGATCACAGATCATTAATATAGCTGATGAATTGTTTGTGCCTTCTTGAATATAATGAGCTCCATTTAAAGGAGAGACTCAGCTTGATATGTTTTAACTTTAGTTAATCAAAGGAGAGTATTTCCTGACAAGGTCTAGCTTTCTCCAAGTCAGTCTATTTTAAAATGATGAGCTATAAGTGTTTTCCACAGCCAAAGCACGAAACAAAGATGAGTCACCACAAATTTAGGAAAAAATTAGCACAATAAGATTTGAACATATAATTCAAAAGTACTTCTATAATGGGAAACATACAATAAGATTTTTTTTTTGCAAAGTGCTAAAAAGATTTTACATTCATGATAAACAGCTTTATGATTAGTATTAACTTTTATTTTTAAGCACTCTTCTGTGATCTGATTCTTTTGCTTGCTGCATAGTATTCTTGTTTATAATTCCTAACATTGTCAGTGCATTTGGAGATAATATCTGTTAACTCTCTGCAACCCTGGGAATGCATTACCTAGTGCGACTCTGGCTGCAGATGCATCATAGTTGATCCAAAATGACACCCATGACAGAATTGTAATCAGTGTGGAAGGCATGTAGGTTTGTAAAATGAAGTAACCAATGTTTCTCTTCAGACGAAAACTTAGTGATAGTCGTGGATATGCCCCTGAGATGGGAAAAAAGAAAAGAAATTGATTAATGTTTGGTTGGAATCTTTTCCCTTTCATACCACTTGTAAAACATTAGGCCGGAAACAGCCTCACCTGTTGTGAACTCCACCTTCTTGGATACCATCTTGTAGTCAACAATTGAAAACTGAGGGAGCTCGATTTTATTAACCCCAGTTACTGCTCCCTCTCCTCCATTCCAATAAAATTCGATGTCATCTGTGGTATAGCCATCTGAAGTGAAGAAACAGCAGCAGTCACACAGAGTTCAGTTGGTCTAGGAATTCAGTTTAGTCTTCCAGCCAGAGGGAAGATTCCCAGCAAATTAGAGCAAGATAGCATTGCTTTACATTTGGATAACAGATGGATCTCATGTTACGTACTATTTTTGTCAGGTTGGGAGTGGAAGCATTGAGGAAATAGATATGTATGGTTTTAGAGGGCTTAAACTCTTGGTTGTTTAGTGTACCTAATATCACTGCTGCAAATTTATTTTTAATGTGCTTACTGATGGATGTTCTTTTGTTAAAGCAATGGATGACTGCATTTCAGGACTCTGGAAATAGATTTGGGATATGCATTTGTCAAACAACAGAAACAGAAACAAGTCATGATAATCACACATTTGTTAAAAAGAGAGCGGAAAGGAGAGTGGGATGAAATATAGCAGAAGATCAAATTTGTACATCTCTATTAAATGATCAAGACATTAAAAAAGAAATATACATTTCTTTTAGAATGCAGTAATATAAAGGGGGAAAGAGGGATAGAGAGAGGTAAAAAAGGGTGGAGGATAAGAGGCAATGGTGGGGGAGGGAATATAGGGAGGGATAACTAACTCTAAAGGCCTATTGAAAAAGTCATGTGGAAACATACTACTGTGGAAGCTTCCTAAAATTTTACCTGTACATATATAAAAATATTTTCAATACAATTACTGTATAAAGGGGGGAGGATACCCATACTAGACACCACAGACTAATAAATAAAAAGCCCAGTGCCAAGAATGGGTTACGTTTATGGATTTGTTGGAGAGGGGCTCCCGTAGACTCACACACATTACAGGTTACTGTCAGTGCTCTTGGTTACCCTTCAGAACTTGGCAACAAGATCCTACTGATGAAGACACCACATAGTTGAGTCATAAAACATGAAAAAAAAAAGCTGGTATTTACCTGGAAATTTCATTCCTATTGGCTAGCTTTCATAGTGCTAGATGTACACTACTGGAGGAAAAAAGTAATAAACAACGTTGCCCAGATGTGAATCCTAGAGCTACAATAGCAACCTGGCAAAATATGCCCACTGGGTGCAGTAGTGGCATAGGTATTATGGAAGTAACTAATCACTTTATGATTAGATTTAAGGCCTGTTCCACAGATGGAACCCATAACTGGACACGTTATTGAGGCCAAGAACCTGTGGTTAGGCAGGTCATAGGGGAGAACTCACTAGTATTACTTTGCTAATTGGACATAGCCTTAAACTGGCCTCTAATGACTTAATATTATGCCAATAGGTTAGTGCATCTCAAAACCCAGAGAAGCTTCTTCTTGTAGCAGATGGTGATTAACACAGAGACCCAGAACTGATCAAGATTCAGAGAATAAGAGAATGTGAAGTGTTCAGCCCTAAATGGAGCATCTATATCACACCCCCTTCTCCCAAGGCTCAGTAATCCTCACAGAAGAGGAGGCAGACATATTTTAAGAGCCAGATGACTTCAATAAAACAGTTTTCCATACCTGACAGGGCAGTTGCATATATGAACTTAAATACACAAGAGCTGCTCAAGCTCAAGCCAGACAAAATTCCAGAATGGAAGGAGGGTTGGGCAAGAAATTCCACCCATAGCTGAGACAATATTGCCAATTAATAGCTGCTGGGAGAGGGAGACCACCTTTTCTTTAAGGCTGTGGCTCCCGGTATCTTGACTGCCCCAGTGAATGGCTCTAATTCAAGAGCATATGGGCATTACAATTGGATTTGATGGGCTTTTTTTTTTTTTTAAGAGAGCACAAAGTTTTGTGGGAAGTGAATGGGGCAGGGAGGATTGAGTGAAGGAGGAGGTGAATATGATCAAAATGCATTGTATGAAATTCTCAAAGGACTAAAATTTTTTTTTTAAGAGAAGTATATAGACATATCTTTTGATTATAGCTAATATTGCTAGGTGATATATAGGTAAAAATTTAGGCACTATCTGAACTCTTGGTAGCATTTTGATCGCTTCAGATTTAGGAGGGTGTGTTAAGGGAACATAGAGAAGATTAAAGATGGTAGAGGGTCTACCCCTGACCTCAGCATGGAAAGTACCAGGTTGATGGCCTGTTTCCCTCCTCCTAGTCTGTTTCCATTGTCTTGAGCCATGACCATGTGTAAGAGTAATTTTTTTAGAACAACAAAAACGCATGACTGTTTTTAAAATCTAAAAATATTAGATTTAAATGTTTTAAGATCTAAAAATAATTTGACTCATTTAAAAGCCCGCTTTTTTCTTTTTTACCAGACACAACGATGACTTTTTCATTTGCTTTTGATATTCACCTCAAATAAAAATGTATCAAATCTGTCTTTTTATTGGAATTACTGACACTTCTGTATCTAAAATAACCCTATAAGCTCTTTGTAGCATGTATTATGCTGACCTACTTTTGATTAAAGCAGTAACATCTTTCTAGGAGACTTTTTTTTTAAATGTTTAAAATTTGGAAGTTGAATGTAAGTGTCAAATAGTTGCCACCAATTTATTACTTCGGGAATGAAGCAAATTTGAAGCTAGTCTTTCTCCTGGCCCCTATCATTTGTATGTGTTTGAGACAGAACAAGTTCTTTTGACTTTATTTCTTTAAAAAGTTCCAATTCGTTTAAAAATCTTTTTAAAATTCCTATTCCAGAACTTGTTGAACTGTTCAAATATAAAACATGAGCTGTTTTATATTTGCTACTTTGTAATGTTACCACTTACTGTGATATATTATATTTAATTTCTCATTAAGCCATCCCCTTGTAGGTCTAATTAATTGCCCTATCTCCAAAGGGTAATATCTATATTTAATAATTTACCTACAATGACCCAAATATAGAATGAGAGTACAATATATTTACTGCTACTGGTGTAATGGTGCATGCCTTTAATACCAGCACTCAGGAGGCAGAGACAGGCAAATCTCTGTGCAATAGAGGTCAGTCTGGTCTATATAGCAAATTCCAGACCAGCTACAGCTATGGGGAAACCCTATCTCAAAAACAGAAAAAAGAAGATATTAACTGTTATAATTAATTATATATAAGAGGTCAGGTGACCCTCTTTACGTATTGGGTTTAACACAATCTCTTGGGACTAATTGATATATTGGGAATTTATTTTAAGCTTGGCTAAGAATCTGTGACATGGATCCTTAACATCTTCTTGAATATCTGGTAAGAATCCTAGAACATCTTCACAGAAGACAGGTAGAAAGACAGGTGAATAGATAGGTGGATGGATGGATGGATCGATGGATGGATGGATAAATAGACAGACAGATAGATAGGTAAATACATAGACAGATAATCTCCACATCTAGTAATAAAACAAGCTGTTAGCTAACTTTAGGTATCAGTTAACTATGTAATAGATTACAACCTCTAGGTGGTACTTAAGGTGTAGAAATCTAAGGCAAAACATGCAAGTGCAATAGATTTATGTGAGCCACAAGTGGTTTGCAGTTTGGGGTTGCGAGGAGTGAAACGCCAAATCAACATTCCTGTTATCTCTGGACAGCAGCAGAATGCTAAATATAGTTAGAGTAAGACAACCAGTCAATGCAGATTTTAATAGTTATAATAGTTCCTCCCCTATGTGAAATTTCCCTTTCTACAGTCTAAGTGGCCCAGTTAACTGCAGACTGAAGATATCAAGTGGAAAATTCCAGATATAAACAATGCATGAGATTGAAATTGAACACCAGTCTTAGCAGCTCTATGAACTCTCCTGCTTTCCTTTTTATTGCACTCAAGATGTGCATCATCTCTCTGTCTAGCACATCCATGCTGAACTGTTTATGTTGACCGCTCATTTGTTACAAAGTAGTCATATCAGTTATCGGATCAACTGTCTCAGTACTGCAGTGCTAACATTCAAGTATCCCTTATTGATGGAATGAGACTATATTTACATAACTTTTATTACAGTTTATTATAGTTGTGATATTTTATAATATATTTCAAATTTAGAATTGTTTACAATGTATTATGAGTTATTGTTTATTTATTCTTTTGCCCAATGCCTAATTTTTAAATTAAACGTTAACTTAGGTCTGTATATAAAGAATAGTCTATATAGGGGTTGGTGTATACAGTGCTTCAGGCATCTGTTAGGCTTCTTGGAACATACCTCCCTGTGGCTGAGGAGGACTATTATATTACAATTCATGCAGTCAGTGGTCTGGGCCTTTATTTCCAAGTACACTTGCACTTTGTTTAACTAAAACCCGTTAGTCATAATGTTCCAGGCACTGAGATAATTACAGGTGATTTGAGGGGAAAAAAAGAGAATGCTCGCTCAGGTTTAGGTAGATGTCTGAGTTCTCATGGGAACAATAAAGGCAGCTGACTCCAAAGGAAAGAATAGAGGCCTAGGAATACACTATTATTCAAAGGTTACACAAGAACACTTTGCCACACAGAGGGAGAACATCAATTTACTCACACCTAAACAACCTATTTACCAAAGGTTTTCCTTTATGAACCAGTGACTTCACACAGCGTCTCAAAGCCTGAACACTTGGACACCAAGGATGTTGTTTCCTAGCAACAAAAACTACATAGAGGCTCTCAAAATTTCCTCTCAGCCCCTGGGGACTTCTTAGTGGTACAGAAAGTATAGATAAAATTAAGTTGATGTCAATAGATGAAGATTCACTGAACTCGTATAATAGAGAGGTGTCTGAATATGAGTGTTCTTCCTTGCTGTTTGAAATCCTTTATTTTGGATGCATTTTCTACTCTTGAAATAAGTTACTCCCCAGTGTACTTAATAGAGTGAGAGGTGGTCTAATACTGTTCCAAGATATGCGCCAGATAATATAAAGATTTAAACTTCAAAACCATGAGCAGACAGAAGTAAATGTATCATAGCAACATATCAAGTTTCTTGATGTGGGTCTTGTTTGACTTAAGCTAATCCTTAAAAACACAATTGCTCTTGCTTATGGAATAGCTCAAGGCTAGGCAATGATATAGCTTGTTAC